AGCCCCTCCCCACGCCCCTCTGAGAGATATTTGGTTACAAAGAACACAATGGTGCTCTAGGAGGAGATTCAGGTGATAACCAACCAATACCTTGGTTGGTTATTGGTGACCTTTAACAGATAAATGTTCCTCTTGACTATTTTTGGCATGTTGGGTGTCGTATTGGTCGTGTAGCTTCACATGCATCATAGTGTGACGCTGCCCTGGACGACACACTTCTGCTTACCCTCACACCCCCACAAGAAGCAGAGGATATGAGATGATGATGATGATGACTTTGCTTTAGTCACATCTCCTCTCATGTAACTCTGCATCCGCATGTCGGTGTTTGACTATTCCATTTGTTAAACACTGCTTTGAATCCTGTTGTGCTGTATAAAACATGAGGGAAAGCTGAATATCAAGGATTCATAAATGAAATTCAGCACATCAGGGATGAGTGATTTCCATCTCCAGGAGGATGTTGGATGAGCACTGTAGCGCAGAAGCCCTCAGGGGAAACTGGTTACTTTTCTGTCTGTGTTCATATTAAATGTTAGATGTTATACAAATGAACATATGCTGGTGTCCCTTTAGTGTTTCCCTTATTTACACTTTTTGCTTTGTCTATTTCTGGTTTTGGACGAGATATATTTCACAAAACACGAATGGACAGTGAATATTGAAATGCATAATTCAATTGTCTCTATCTCTCGTGTAATTTCAAGGAGATTCAAAATAGACTCTTGACTTAAAAAAATGGGGGAAAACCATTCCTTGTGTTACCTTTTCCCTGAATTATTAATCTCTTCCTTGTTTGCTCTTTAAAAATATTTTGTCCATAGGCAATTACATATTATCCAGAATTGTTTTGGTTATAATTTCACCTAATAACTTTCAAAGTAGAATAATCTTTCTATGTCGCTGTCAGTCTGTCTCTTGTTGTTGTCACACCTCTTTTTGCCTGAGTTGATAGCGTCTAGACCAGCGGTTTTCAAAGTGTGAGGCGCAGCATGAGAAAAAAATAACGACAAACAGTCAAATCTAGCTAGTTAACTTCAGCTAACTTTATGCGAGCGGCAACATGAATCGATTTTTAGTGAAGTGAGAGAGGAGACTGCGTTTGGCAGAAAACGTCACTTGCACACTTTTGGCTGTCTGTGGAGACCGAGTTCCCCCACCTCGCCAAAAAGGCTGTAAAAGTGCTCATTCCCTTCACCTCCGCCTACCAGTGTGAGTGCGGGGTTTCCGCATTGACTTTGATCAAAAGCAAGTACCGGTCAAGCAGGGGCGGATCTACCGGGGTGGCATGGGGTGGCAACTGCCACCCTAAAAATAGCCTTGCCACCCCATTTGGCAGCTTTGTTTTGAAATAAAAGTTGTGGCTCATTGGACATCTATGAGAGAAAATCCCTAATGTCTGAGTGCAAGTGAATGCAGTACAAGACGCGAGCCTTGTAACCCCTCACCCGGCGAGGAAATCTGATTGGCGGCGATTTCATTTGAACGGGACGGCGCAAAACGAGAAGCATTCGGACCCAAGTAGACGGAAGGAATGAGGTATTTGCGGTCTACAATGACAGAGAAGTGAATGTCAAGTTTGGCTGTACTCAGCATTGAATCAAAACGCACTAAAGCTTTAGATCTTAATACGTTTGTGGGGCGTTTTGCTGAACAAGATGGTAATCGCCGCATTCAGCTGTTATAGGCATGCCAACTTAATGCTCTGCTCACAGATGACTCGATGAGCATAAAAAACTGTTAAGATTACGTGTGTAAATATATTTATTATTTTTTCTTTGTGGGGTCTGCCCCCAAAAAACAGTTTTAAGTCTGAGAAAGTCAAATAAGACGGTGTGTAAAACTACACTGCCCAGCCAAAAGAAAGTAACCACTTTCATTTAACTAGGCCAGTAGGTAAGGGCATTCCACTGGATAATAATACCCCTGCTTTATAGCAACAACAAAAATAATAATAATAATAATAATAATATAATAATAATAATAAATAATAATTGGGAGAGGGGGGGGGCTGTTCTTCTTAAGTTCTCTGAGGGAGGCTCACCTTCCCACACTTTGAAAACCCCTGGTCTAGACAATTATATTTTTTTGTATCCATTATGTGCATGAAGACAAACAATAAATTAAACGGTCCTGGAGGCTGAAGCTGTGTGGGATGGAGAGTGCTTCTTTGTTATCGGAAGTCTCTGCTCTTTTGACTGCCTTTAATTGTCAAGTTGCTTTGGGAGCACTCAGCTAAATGACACAAACTTTAAAAATGCAAGATGTTTAATGGTAGTCGTTGAAAACATGTCGGAACCTTGAGGTTGCTTTTCTCTCACTTACTTTAACATGAATAACTTGAACCAGATTGAGGCTATTTTTAAATTGTCATAAATATGCAGGTCTAAATACACAAATATCAATATACTTTTTTGACCAATCACAACAGAAATTGCCAGCTGACCAATCAGAGCAGACTCGGCTCTGGTTTCAGACAGAGGGTGAAAAGAGGTGCTGCAGCACAGGCAGTATGAGAAAAATAAAGAACTTTTTGAACATTAAAGCATGGAGACATGTCACACACTGTAAAATGTTTGGCTGTAAACTTACAGTAAATTACTGGCTACTAGTTGCATGGATTTCACAGTAATTGACTGTAAATATTTCACAGTAATTTCCTGTAAATATTTCACAGTAATTTACTGTAGATATTTCACAGTAATTTACTGTAGATATTTTACAGTAAATTAGAATAAAAGTACAACTAAATACTGTGAGTTTACAGTTGCCATGCCCATGGAATTACTGTGATATAGCAGTACAGAGCTGTGGTATTATGGTACCTTGCTGTACATAAATTACAGTAATTACTTGTATTTTCACACTTTTACTGTAGAAGTAATGCAACACATTAGCCAGTAATTTACTGTAAATATAAAAATGTAAATAATACGATATTATATTGTAAATCTGACTAGTTAACTGGGATTTTACCATAACTACACAATTCAATCAGCTCAATCAAACAAAGAAAAACAAATACCATTTAAACTTTGTATTACTCCATTGAAGTGCAAAGTACATTTCGCAGTGTCTTGGACATGTTACGGTCCCAACCTCTACTCTGCGGTAGTAGCTCGTGCTGAGACCCGCAACATGAAAGAATACACGCAATAACCGGTACTTGGTAACGAGCATTTATTGATAATCAGCAGTTTGCTCACACAAGCGAAACGGGAAACAAAAAGAGGTCTGGAGGAGTGGCCAAAAGGAACAAACAGAAGGAGGGAACCCGAGGCAGCCACACCACGGACCGTAAGACCCAGAGCTCCCCCCCCTAACCAGAAATCAATTCTAAACCCTATGGGAAACAAAATAAAGCCAAAAACTGGACTACCAGGTCCTCCAGGCTAAACATAAACACATCTGCAAAAATATGGCCTACAGCTCAAAATGGCAAAGAGGTATTCTAAGGAGAGTGTCTCCCGGCGTTAGGATAGGCGAAACATCCTTCTCCTCCAGCTTCTCTTTATATATACACGGCTGAGTAGAATTTGGAACACCTGGGCAGAGGCGGAGCCAGGGGCAGACCAGGTGCACCTGCGCAGCAGGGAGACAGAAAAGAAAACAAGGAGGGGAGCACATGTCTACACAGACATCCACTCGACGTCAACAATTTTCTGAAGAATGTGCTGACGTGGGGGTTTAAATTGCCATGCCTCTTTTTGGCTTTCGAGCCCGTCTCAGGATTAATGCCCAGGAAGCACCTGAAAACAATAAGCCAAGACAACAATTTCAATTTTACAGATTTAAATGTTGCATAGTTTATTTTAAGGCACATGCAGCGGTGCCCCTTTCAATTTAAGTAAAACCTGCACCAAAGAAATAAATTAGTATTTAAAGCCAAGCAAGAGCAAGAAAGCAAGAAAATCACTTAATGTGTTGTGTTATCACAGAGGATGGTCTGAATACAGTATTGTACTGTGAAATAATACAGTAACATGTTGGGAAATCCTGGTAATCATTTATCCTGTACATTCACAGTAATTAACTGTGCCTGCATTGATTTCACTGTGAAATTCAAAATTACAGTATTATATTGTAAACATCACAGGTAAAGACTGTAAAGTGGTAAAACAGTAATTTATTGTAAAATATTACAGCTAAATATTGTGAAATCATGGTAATATTTTACAGTGCAGTAGAGACACAAAATACAACATACAAAGTATTTTCATTTGTTCCGCACCTTTGATGCTTGAACACATGCAGGGATTTGTTAACATCTTGGGTAGATCTTACTTTAAGGCTGCTTTGAAGTTTCACCTCAAAGTGAAATTGTAGTCTATTACAATTTGGTTTGTTGTTTACCTGACAAGCCCCTCTTGTGGTTGCCCTCTTAAAACGTTTTCAGCTAGAAGTTTTATTTTGGATCCCAGAATGTTCTTCTGAAAGGTAGGATAATGTTCTCCAAAAACATTCTTAAAATGTTTGGTGATAACCTTTTTTAAATGTTTTTGATAACATTGTTAGAACATTATGCCCTACTATTCTTAAAACGTTTTCTTAAAAACATTACTAGAACCTGTAGGTAACGTTAGCGAAATTTGTGAGAAAGTTCCCTGGCTGGGTGGATGTATAGCCGGTATTCAGGAAGTAGTGTGACTGATTTTGACGTAGCAAGGCACTTTTTAACATCTCTATGAGACAAACTGGGCTTTCTAAAAACTCCAACGTAAGCCGTTCCACATTGTTAAAGGACTTTCAGAGCAACTGTCAAAAAGGACTTTCACCCAGGAGATTTCTGTTTGTGTCCTGTTTGAAACTAAGTTAGCATTGACGTATTGTTCCTTACCATTGAAACGTTCTCAACTAATGTCAGTTAATTCTGAATTCCTTCTCGTCCTCCTCTTCACTCTTCTCCTCTCTTGCGCTACCCTCTTGTTTTACTTCCTCCATTGTTTCCTTCTGATCTTCCTTCCATCGTCCCACCTCTGTCCTCTTCTTCCTCCCTGCAGGCTGTTGATGGAGAGGATTTCGAATGTCAGCCGGGACAGTGGTCATTGCAGGAGGAATTCTGGCTACAGTGATCTTACTGACCATCGTTGCTGTACTGTGTTTATGTAGGTTACAGGTATGACTGTTTTACTACCCACTAATGTTGAACAGAAAAAGAACCAAAACTCATTTGCAAATGCAGAGTCTTTTTAAAAATAATCCAAGTTTATCAAGATTCAAAGCATTTAACCGAAACCCTAATAAGATGAGTCTACAGTAATGTTTAGTTACCACAGCAATGCTTGAGTCTAATATTATCATGCTAATGTTCAGCAAATATAATGTTTTCCAGCTCAGTTTATCATGTTAACATTTGAAGAATAACTGACAGCTGAGGTTGATTATTTGATCATGAGCCCAAGAATTGGACAAATTAAATGATGGCCTGTTGATTGCTCTAGCTAAAAAGTCAGGATCCTAGTTTTACAGTTTACTGAGACAAACATTGACACAAATGATGTGTTGCTCCATATAATAGTTGCTTCAATCAAAATGACAAATGTTACGCTCATGATGGCACTATAAGGATTACCAAAGCAACAATGCTTAAACATGCATTAATCTAATGGGAAGTGGGGCCAGTCTATGAAAAAATTACCCTACTTATTACTTGATTTATTACTTACTTACTTATTTAGTACTTTATTACTAATTAACATTTTCCTGATAAGTTTATGGTCCCAATTGCTGGTTTCAAGTTGTCTTATATGCCACATAATGTGTACTTTGTAATCAAGGTCCTACACCAGTAAGCAGGGTAAGCTTTAGGCCATACCATGCAATTGACAGCTCACTCCCGCAGTGCTATCAAGTCTGAGTGATGGATGGTCTTCGTTTTAGAACGTTACCTGGTTCCAAAAGACCAAGATGGCGACGGCCAAAACGTCAAATAAAACAAAGTCCACAAATCGCTAGTAGTAACAACGTTGACGTTTTTATAACATTTATGGGATCACCAAAATCAGTAGAGTTCATCCTGAGGGGATTGTTTTAATAAAAAGTATGTACAAACATGAACATGAACAATCTATCCAATACATTCTGACATAATAACTCAGCCTAGAGGGTGGATCGATGAATTCAGCTCTAGTGTTGTTTTGTTTAGTAGCATGACTTCTTATTGTTAGCCTCTGCATGATTAACATTAAACATTTAATTACACTGACTCTGACTTGTATCCATTCCCTGTTTGTAACCATTCCAGTACTACTGTTGTAAGAGGGAGGAGTCTGAGAAGGGGGAAGAGGAAGAACCAGAGCTCGCCTCTATGTCTCCTTGTCCGCCCCTGGCTCTGTCCGCTCCCCCTACGCCTCCGACGCCGGAGCACTTTAGCGACGTAACGGAAAACTACCCCCCTACCTTCCTTACTGAGGCCAATGGTCCTGCCAGCTACTCCCCCACACAGCCACCGCGCAGGTGCCATCGCTCACATGCCTTCTGCCCGACCTGCACCCGCTGCACTCTGCCCTTTTACCTGCAGCACCCGGAGAGGCTGTGCAACGGCGGTCGCAGGATCAGCTACAGGACTGTGCAGCAGCAGGACCTTGAACTGCCCATAGACTTGGCCAGGTTCTACCAGAACCTTATTCGCTCGGTCACCATGAAGGAGGTGGTCACCCAAAGCATTAGCACTGATGTCTAGGAGCAGGCAGGATGGAAGCAGTAACATCCTTCTGGCCTGGTGAAAAGGTGCACTGACTCGGTGCTGTGTGCAAACACACTAAATTAACATGTCATATAAGTGTTGTGATGTGGGTGTTGTGCTGACGGACAACAACACTGAGGGCTTTTGGGCAATTGCACACCTTTCCTGGCAGCAAAATGGAGTTGTGCAGCTCTGGAACAAATGCGTACAGAAAACATTCAGTCAGTTTTGACTTGAAGGTGCAATCTGTAAGATATGGCCTGGAATTTAGTTTTAGCTTATATTATCTATGCCTGGAATGTGAAGAGGTTAATTTGTTGATTATATGTCAGACACATCTATTGAGTTGCAGAAATCTTCACTCAAATAGGCTCACTAACTGACAAGCCCCTGCCCATCCTGTCTAATATCACTTGTACCTCCAGAAACGTCTGCCAGCAGTCCAACACGAGAGGACAGAGAAGTAACGCTGCCTAAGGGCTTGTCAATCACATGTTGATCCATTCATGATGCTACAACCGCTAACTTAAGGTCCACCTCTGTGAGCTGCGGCACGCTCTCCTCCAAGCTAAGACATTTCCTGGCGGCTGGGACGACAAGACAAAGGTGGCGTTCATGTTTCTGCTATCTTGGATTTAATCAAATAAAAACATGTTTAGGGGTAAACACAAATGAACTATTGGAAACTATAAGCTAATACTACACATGCGTTAGCTTTATCAATTTAGACCAGCTCTCAGTTTCAGCAGCTTGGTTGAGTTTTGACTATGATTTCCCTGCTGCTAGTTATAAGGCTCCTTTCCACTTCCTTCGTGGCTGATGACAGAAAATGTAGATTGTATGGACCCATTAGTAGAGATAAAACGGTGCCCCCCTCTTAGTTTGAAGCAGGAGACCAAGTATTACACATTTCACCTTTGATTCTTTGTGAGTGTGGCTTATTTTGTGTTTTGAAAATTAGCTTGTTTGCTAAATAGCTAGTTAGGTGGTTGTTAAAAAAGTGTATAAAAAAGACAATTTCCAATTTGTCGGTTCATTCAACACACGCTTTGTTTATTTGAATGCACCACACAGAGGAAGACATGGAGGTCAAATCCCTAACAATGTCCATTTTACCTTTCTCCAAGGAAACTAATGGACAGTTAGCTAGCCAGCTAACATTGTTCAAGCTAACAAGGTTTCTTTCAAAGGCTGAACTCTGGTGTTATTGTCAACCAATCCAGTGTGGAGACCAAAAACAACTGTGAATGTACCTATAACAAGTATCCTTTAAAGATAGTGAGCCACACTGTTGTACATCACATATTATTTTACTACCATGAACACACATTTGACTTTATTTTGACTCAATCCTATAATCACCATCATGTTGCCACAACTAGTAACTAAAGAGCCGTATACGGATTAATCAGCACTGAAAAGAGTAACCAAGTGACAATCTGTATAAGAATGTTTTAAAAGATGTATGTTTTTATTAGAACAAAATGGACATGGGGCTGAGAGCCGCAGACATGAAGTAAATAATTATTGAGGGATAGACATTGTTTGTTTTGGTCTTTTTATGGGATTTGTTTGAAGAAAAAGATAGACATTTCTCATTTAGAGGTGTTTTAGAAACATTTTTAACTTACAAATCAAATCTGTTACTGACTTCACTAACAGTCGGTGTTTATTGTTTCTCCCGCAGTTTATAGAAAGCCAGTATTTGTGCACAGTGTGATCCCAAACACACCAGTTTCGGCTGTAGTAATGAACATAAAGTATGTGTACTTTATTACCACTTGACTGTGATTCATTTATGCAATGGAAATATATACTAGTGGATAATGCCACACACAACATGCTTGTGTAGCAATGACTGTACAGTTTTACATTTCACCTTTATTTATTTTCCAGAGGACTTCACCTAACACCTCCAAAGGTCCAAAAAGTATCTTTGTATACTTTTTTTGATATAGTTTATCATCTCTTCAGGCTGAAGCAAAGGTGTTTTCACAACTTCTGTCTGATTAGATCTTCTCAAAGAGTGAGGTTTAATCAGCCAAATGAAAACACCTGTGCTTAAAATCAATGCTGTGAATATAGGCAGCCATCACAACTTTCATTACGTTGTCCTTCAATTTCCCTGAGGCTGATTTATGGTATAGAGTAAAAAAAAGGAAATAAATAATAATTAATTATTTATTTATTTAAATAGTGACTTACTAATAATATACATTTTTATTAAATTGTAACATCAAAAATGTTCTCCAATATCAATTGAAATGTTTAAATTCAGGATTATAATCTAAAATGTCATGAATCAGATTTTTTTATCAGATCAAATTTGCATGTTGGTTAGTTGAAAAAGAACATTCCAAAATATGTTTGAGTTTCAACATTCTTCATGTCAAATTAATAATAAATACATTTAAAAAAAAATGAAATCTGGCTACTCTAACTCAAATTCAGCTATTTAGCAAAACAAGAAAGTCAGGATTTTCTTATACCAATATTCTAAATAAAAAAGTCAAAACTTTGAATTTAATTAGAATTGGTTTAAAATAAAAGCAAAGATATTGTTGACATAACATGGAGCTTCAGACTGACCCATGTTGATCTTCACTGTAGATTTCTCAGCACCGCGTTGTGTTTTTTGTCTGTTTTGAGTTATTTCTCAGTCAACAGAGAGCAGCTCGTCATTCTATCAGTATGTGAGTGTTTTACTGTGTGAATTCAAATCACAATTTTAAGGGCTTTTCTGAAGCATTCAAAGATCCTATGGCTGTGATTCTTGAAGATATGTATTCCCTATTAAACACATCCTACTGTAGATAGATGCTGTGATGTAGGCCTGGTTTTTCCACCAACATGAGCATTTACTGTAAGAAAAGATTGATCGCACATTTTGGTATGTCTTAATGATAGTAAAGTAGATGACTGTTTGGTTCACGCCAGTAGAGAAAACAGCCCGACTCCAGAAGCTGTAGATAAATCCTTCATTTATCCTAAGATTATATGGAATTAAAAAAAATCGTATTTAGCCAACTAACACTGTAATATAAAAGAAAAATGGAAGATAAAAGCAAGCTGCTAAAAAAAGAGCTTTGGAGCTCTGTTTTTGTGTCATGTATGATCTTGTCTTGTGTTTTTCATAAGTGTGACAACACGAAATCTGTGTGATTCAATCTGTATTCACATGATGCGTGATTTTCTCACCACTATTTGGGAACAGATCCTTGCGGTGAGAACAGTAAGCTAGTTTTGTTGTTATGGTTACCCTGCTAGATTGCACTGCTACATACAGCTGTCATCTGATTGGTTGTGCGTCGAAAGGTCAGCAGTAAACAAGGTCAAAGTTGAAATAATTTGAACTTCGAGCACAGTGCTTGGATACAATTAAAACCCGGAAATAACTAAGCCACTTTTACCAATTCCGGCTCCCCGTTTTCCTTTGCAATATACCAAATATCAATGGGCAAATCCTATCGCTTTTTGTCGAAGGACCCCTTTGCAATGCTAACTTCCGGGTCTGCCTACAAAAATACGTCATCACTGCACCAGTCTATACTACAACAGGACAAAAAGGTTTCATAAATGTCACCAAATTGCCAACAGCAAGGCATCTTAAAAAAAAAAACACTGATATTACATAAAGATTGGACATTTCTATTCTTAAATGTTGTGTGCTTTACCTACGAATATTGAGTATTAATATTATTTTTAAATCTAGGGTTACCATATAGTCACAACTTTTTTTTCTGTCTGTATTTAAAACAGCCTGTTGCTAAATAAACACAAATCCATGCTGCATAAAGTTTACACCTAAGGGATCATTTACAGCGAGAGCAACAAATGTTTTTTCGCATAATGACCCGCTTGCCGTGAAACAGATCATTTGACACAACAAAATATTGATTGCTTTTGTTATCAAGTATTCAATAAAGCTGTGTAATGAACACATTTGAAGTTTAGTTATTTATGTTTCTGAGATGTTTCGAGTGGACTGCAACATTAAGATACTAAATTCTCGCTTGTCCTGACCTTCAACCACTTGGACTCTGCATGCAGCCATAGAGGAAGACATCCTGGTAGTCTCCGGTCTCTGTCGAAGAAAACCCCCCCCCCTTGTCAATCAAAAAAGGCCTCAGACATGAATCCATTCAGGGAGTTTTGGGGGCAAAGCTGCAGCTTCCACACTTTTGAAGTTCCTTTTGTGGAGAACTAATTTCATTTTTCCATAGCTTTTTCTTTCTTTCTTTTTACATTAGTCTGCCTTTTTAAAAGACTGGAACTGTTGGATTTGTTTCCTCTCTGCTTCAGTAGTTGATGTGTTTTTTATTATCCTGCAGTATAGTAGATGAGGTTTGATGCTGACCAGCAGGGGGTGTACGCTGCTGTCAAACCTGCATTTACTGCTGATACTTTGTGTGAAAGTGACATAAATTACAGTGTTATAAATACAAATAATGCAAAACTTGTTGGTATGTGTTTCCTTGCCTCTGTGTAAATATTGTTGTAGAACAGCAGAATTTGGTTTTGTGGCTTTTTATCAGTTTGAATCTGCAATGACATTCGTTCTGGTGGAGCCTCGCAGATGGGGGTGCTGCAGCCCCCTCAGCACCCCCCCCCCCCTTCCCGCGTCCATTTGCGATGTCTCGCTGTCTCGCAGATCCCACGCAGCAAGCAGGAAATGAACCCAGCTCACACTGTCCGCTCCTCACAGCAGCGAGCCTCGCAACGTCCCGCCAACACGGCACCCAGACCCCACGCAGCGTTCTCGTCTGTTTGTCATTACTGGTGTCATTTTCTAGTTGCTAACGCCATTGTAACACATAATCACTGATGTTCCGCTGTAACGGTGGTGGACTCATCAGAACAGAGTGGGCGAGCTGATCAATCAGAGCAGTGGGCTCACAGGGAGGGGGGGGGGGGGGGCAGGAGCTTCAACAAGCCGTGTAGGACAGAGAGTGAATACATGTAGTTTACAGAGATGCTGTATGAGAAACCAATGTGAGTTTGGAGCATTGAACAATATAAATCTATTCTAGTAGACCTCAACAATGGAATTGTGATCAGTAGAAATGGCCATGACATGGGACCTTTAAAGGGGGTTGGGTTTGAGTGTGGCAACTGGCAAAGCCAAGCCCACAAACTGTTGTCAAAGTAAAACCCCCCAACATATGTGTCATGTGGAGATGTACAAAAAAGACATCCAACCGGAAGTCTGACATTTTGAATTGCATGTGCTGTTTTTTGTTTTCGGCTTTCGTAAGTGCCTTACTATAACAAACTTCTACAGATTTAGTCCCATCATCTTCATTTCATCAAGACCATCTAAATACCTTGTTTGTTTTTTTACTTTATTTGCTAAAAGAATCATGCAAAGTGCAAAGTCCTTGAACCATCATCAAATTAAAATAAAAACAACAAAGATACTGTGGGGGAAACTTCTGAAGCAATTGGAAACAGGACTCGGAGAGGCACGAGGAGAGCTGGAGCTTTGATGGCAAACACTGGTGGTTTATTTGGAGCTTCGGCCGGAGAATT